CTTTGCACGGCTCTCTCTCCTGCCCCAGACTGCTCTCTGGGTCCCCAACGCCTGCGGGTCAGGGACTCAGCTCCTCAGTCTGCCTTTCAGGTTCTCTGAAGCCTGGCCTCCACTCCCCTGAAGTCCTCCAACCCCACTGTTCTGTACCCCAGCACATGATCCCCTCACTCTAACACAGCTGGGTCTCTTCCCCACAAAGGTACCTTTGCTCAGGGAGGGTCTCAAATGTTCTGCTCACAGCCCTGCTGCCAGCTGGCCTTCCTGCCATTCCCTGTATCCCCCCAGCATATCCCAGCTGTAGCCTGTGCTTGCAATGGCCTGCCTGCCCCCCTTCCAAGGTTCTCCTCCATGACAGCCGTGTGCACCCTGTAACTACCCGACTGATCCTGCACTGTGGTTTTCTGTTCTCTGCGCCAACTGCAGGCTCGCTGTGGGCCAGGAGTTTGGGTTGTTCTCCCTTCTGTACACAGGAGCAGACTCTGGGCAGACAGGCCAGAATGTGAAGGTGTCTATCCATGCATTCATCCATCCATTCAACAAATCCTCCCCAAGAGGGGCACTGTGGTACAGCAAGGAGTGTGCTGGATTTGGAATCAGGAAAATGGGTTTGAATCCTGCCTTGGACACTTATGTGTGTAAGCTCTAGAAGTCTCAGTTTCCTCATCTGTAAAAATGGGGACACTAATAAGCACCTACCTCACAGAGTCCAGTCAGTCAACAAGCCCTTCTTAAATGCCTACTGTGTGCCAAGCGCTGGGGATACAAAGAAAGGGGAATACAGCCCCTGCCCCTAAGGAGCTCCCATCTGTTTGGAGCATGTGAGGAGGGATGGGAAGTGTTCTGCAAACCTTACACCATGGATCAGGGGGAGCCCTCCTGACTGACTGTCAAGTCCATTCTGTGCTGCCCAGATGAGGCCCCATGCTCTGGACCGTCTCCTAACCACAAGCAGGGATAATTCACAGAACACACCACATTTGTTTCTGCATAACAACAGCAGATCCCACTTCCCCATGGCTTCTGTTTTGACTTAGACAGGTGTTCCTACCTCAACGTGGCAGCCACAAGACATTAAACAAAACTGCCCTGAGACACAGCCACATTTCTAAGAGCAAGCACTGATTTAAAGAAAGATGCCGCCATCTCTTTTTGGTTCTCAGAATACTGCCCCTCACCCGGTCGCATTCAGTGTGATGCTGCTGTCCAGGTAAGAGATGAGGGACACTGGGCAAAGCTCTAGGGCCTCTGTCCTCAGCCTGGCCTTGGCTGCTTCCTCAGTGGTCCCTTTCCTTCCGAAGGGAAATTCATGCAGAAGCATCCCTTTAGAACAGAGCCCTTCTGAAATTCCCCACATTTTCCCTTGGAGTTTCCCCCCAACCCTGCTTGGAAATGTGCCAAGCGTGGCCTCCCTCTTTTCAATTGCTGCTAATGGGGGGTAGCTAGAGGGGAGCAGGCCACACCTCCTCATCTGAGAGCTGCTCCTTTGGGTATCAGCTTCCAGTCACAAATTAATCATCCACCCCCATGGGATGGAAATCACCCCAGAAGGCAAACTCATGCAGGTGCTACCTGGCTAGAAGAAGCATATCCCAGGCTGGCTTAACAAAGGGGGCACGTGACCCCCGAGGGAGGCTGGCCTCCAGGCTGAGCATTCTTTTAGCTGACACAGCTCAAGAAAACCATTTCCTAAGGAGTTTCAGTCTGTTTCAGTGGAAGGAGTAACTCACATGGATGAAATGAGGCATCCAGGTATTAGAGACTAGAAGGAATCCTTCTGTGCCTGTGAACTTATCCTGTGAGTTATCAAACTGGTACACTGGGTACTAGACAGCATGAGCACATCTGAAATGCTTCCCTTGAGGAAGATCCCCGGTCCTCTCAGCTACCTCCTGGCTCTGTGAGTAGTACAAGGTGTCTGGAGGCAGGGCATACTCTCCTCTGGCCTCACTTTCCCCCTTTTTTAAAGAAAACCTCATTTTTTACTGCCGTGGTTTATTTTCATATCACCTTAATGTCTGATATTATCGCAAAGTGGGCCAAGCCTGACAGCATCCACTCACCTGCTATCATCAGTGGCCCTCCCTTTCCCCTTCCCCTGTCTCCTTTGCTTTCCCAGTCTCAGGGACACTGAATCCTGGCTGCCTAAGAACAAATCCCCTACCCACCTCATACCCTCTCATCCCCATCCACCCAGTCCCACCACCCCCAGGCCTCTTCCATTATGGCCTCTGGAATTCCTGCTCTGTCCTTAACAAACTGCCCTTCAATTTAAACCCAATCCTCTCGTGTTCCTTCTTCTTGGCCTCACTGGGGATGGACCTGGTTCTCCCAGAAGACCCTGAAGTCCTGTCCATCCGTCTCTTCCTTCACCAGCTGTACCTTCTCTCAATACTGGCCCCTACTCCTGAAAAACAGACACTCCCCACTGCTACTTCTAGACTCTCTCTCTATGAGCATCACTCAGCAACCTTTTCTTCTCCGAGAATCACTCTATCCAAATTTATTAGCCTGTCCAGACCCCAGGACATCCCCTCTCTCCACTCCAATTCCTGCCCTTATATTAGAAGACTAGGATGATGCCTCCACCCTGACCCCTGTGACTGATCCTTCATTCGACCTCATCAACAGCATGGCTCAGCACGGCCAATCAGGCCTGAGCATCCTGCTTCTAGGAATCCTTTATCCAACCATGATCTCCTTTCATCCCTCTTTCCCTCTACTCCCTTTCCGCTAGACCTAGTCTTTGTTCTTTCAGTGACCTCCAGCCCCTCTTCTTTTCTCTCCCTCTTCTCCCAGCTCCCCCTAACCTGACTTCACTTTTCTTCCTTCTCCATCTCAACACTACAGTTAACCAGATCAATATTACAACATTCTAGATTCTAGAATCCCTTTCTCTTGTCCTATGGCAGATGGTTTGGAGCTCAGAAAAGCCCCACTGTCTCCCCCGTTTCTAGGTCCATGTTGCTGATTGCCACACAACCTTGATGACTGGTTCTATTACAACTGGGCCCTCCCTACAGTAAGACAACCCTCTTATTCCTCCCTCATTCTCTTCAGTGGCTGTTACAAACCTGCTCTTCTCTCCTCAAGCTTCTCACTCCTTTCTCTTCTCATCACTCTTTCAGTAGAGAACTTTGCTCTACTAGGAAAATCAAGATTTGAAAACAATGGGTAGTATTTATTATATCAGTTTTCCTGAAACGGAAATGTATTGTTTTATATTGAATCCCCTCATGTTCTGCTGTGTACATGACAATCTTTTTTTTAAAATTTTGTATTTAAGTTTAAAATGAATAAAACAAATCATAACAACAAAAAAAAAAGACTTTCTCTACAAGTCAAAAGCCCTGACCCCATTCTCGCTTCCTTCACTCACCTGATGAGGAGGTAGCCTTTTCTTTGTCAAGACCAACTCCTCTCCATATTCCCTGGATCCCATCCCCTCCTGCTTCTCCCTCCCCTCTAATCTTCCATCTGTTTCCACATTCCTTTCCTGCTGCCCACAAGCACTCCTGGATCTCCCCCATCCTTAAAATATTCTCAGCCGACCCAAGCTGTCACCCGAAATCTTCCTTCTCTCTCACACCCTATTTCCGATGGCTCTGCTTTTGCAGAGACAACGACTGGACCTTGAGGTTGAGTGGATTATAGGACAGAAGAGGGTCCCAACAGCAGAACCCTCAAGGTAGCATGGGATCCTGGGAAGTAGTAAAGAGCACACAAGGGAATGAATGGGGCTCCGCCCTTCAATCTCACCTTATCTCCTTCCCTGAAAAACCCTCCTGTGAGTCTGCCAGCCCCTCAAGTATCATTCAATCATAACGGCCTCCTGGAGGGCCCCGGCTGCCAGGCTCTGCCCTGGGTGGCCCGTTCTCCAGGCAGAGGCCAGGTCTGACCCTGTCACTCACTACCAGCTCACGGAGATCTCATGGCTCCCAATGACACTCCTCTGGTATTTAAAGCCCTGGCTCCAGCTGACTTTCCAGGCTTATTACACACGATTTCTTTTTACATACTCTATGGTTGGGCCAAATGAGCTTAATCAATCAACAAGCATTTATTAGGCGGTTGTGCCAAGTCCTGGGGGTACAAAAGAAAAGCAGAACCAGCTCCCTCACTGCCCCTCCCTCCTTGCCTCCAGGCTGTTCCCCACTCACTTCTTAGGGAATCCCCAGCTTCCTAGGAAGCTCAGCTTGGAGGCCTCCTTGTGGCCAAGGCATTCCCCCATCTCCTGGCCTTCCCTTCTTACTACTGCCCCTTCAAATTCCTTTGTATTTGCTGTGGAGAGACTCTGGAGGTCCCCAGGATTTCCTCTGATCTCATTAGATCTAATGATCTAACGTCCTGGAGGACAGGGCCTGCCTCGTTCTTGTCTTTGCATCCCCAGTGTGGGGCACCCAGCAGCCTAATATTAATGCCTTCTGCCTGGTGAACTGCCAGAGGGGTGGAGGGAAGAGTGGGTACATCATGACGTATTCCTCAGAAGCTTAAAGCCAAACCTGATGAAGGCTTCATGCTTTTCAGAGCCACAGTGTCTGAATGAAGGCTGACCGAGATTGAGATAAGGATAGATTTTACTTTTACACAAACTGAGTGTGAACCATTCATTTCCGGACTTCATCTAAATAGCACTTAAGTCTAGAAGCCAGTACAGAGCACTGGGCCTGAGGTCAGGAGGAACTGAGTTTAGATCTGGCCTCAGATACAACCTGTGTAGCCCTGAGCAAGTCAATTGACTGCTGTCTGCCTCAGTTTCCTTACCTGTAAAATGATGATGATAATAATAGAACCTCCATCCCAAGGTTGTTGTGAGGATCAAATGTGATAATATTTGTAAAGTACTTTGCAATTAAAGTTTTAACAAGCTATTAACAATGATTAAAAACTCAAAATCTGACTCCCTCTCCACCTCCCTCCCCTAACCTTACCTGTTTTCAACCAGAAAATCTACAACGTACTTCTTCAGGCAGTAGAGATGGGCATCCACAAGACCTGTTTGGAAATGGATCCTAGGATACCTGGGAAAGAACAAACAGTAACGAGAAGCCTTAGAAATGGTCACCGCTCCTGGCCAGCTCCCTCTGTGCTGAGTTCCCAGGGGCTCCCAGCTGGGGACAGGCCTGCATGGGGGGCTTTCCTCAGCCAGGGAGGGGCCCCAGAAGGACGCCCCCATGCCTGGGTCTGCCCTGGATGCCGTACACACCCTCAAACAGCCTGGCTTCCTTGAACTGCTGCCCAAAGCAGGCACATACAGATACCAATACAACATGTGGCCAAATCTACAATCAGTCTCAGCCTGGACAAGAGGGATTCTCCTGTTGTGGTTCCAGATTTTCTTGGATATCAGCCTTCTTTTTTAAAACCCTAGTTTGTTTGTTGACCTTGGACACACCCCCTGAACTTCCTGGGCCTCAGTTTCCTCATTTGTAAAATGAGGGCTGGAATGGATGAAGCCTCTTCCAGCTCCAGGCCTGTGGTTCCTTGATCACAACTCACTGCACCTTCAGGTAGAGAGGAAAGATTCTTCTCTAGTCTGGAGGATTATGGCCATGGACACAGCAACACATCAAGGTGAAAGCCCATGTATTTACAAAAGAAAGAGCAGAAATACTCATTGTTTTTAATCGCTTGTGTCAAGGCCAGCAGAACAAGTGGGAGCTAGGGCTGATAAAGCCCACAACTTTCCTCAAAGGGATTTCTCTTAAGGGCAGATCTAACCATGTCACTCTTTCAACCTGGTAAAAGGCAGTGACTCCCTAGGACCAAATAAAAACCTCTCTGTGCAGCATTATCTTCAGATAATTTTAGGGCCTTCCCAACCCACTTTGAGAGCAACGCTGTGTGCGGCTTCCCTTCACACACCACACTCTCCTCAGACTGGCCTGCACACCCCGGGCACCACGTCTCTTGTCTCTGTTCCCTTGTCCAGACTGCATGGAATGCCCTCTTTCCTCTTACCTCCCCCTCTTCAAATACAGTTTTCTACAAGGCTCAGTTCAAGTACTGGTTTCAACAAGATGTCCTTCCTGACCCCTCCATAGTGCCCCCGTCACTCCCCAAACATGCAATCTTATATACATCTTTTACAGAGTGACCACTATGTGCCCAGCCCCAGACAATTCTGAGGAGGACATATACTGTTTGCCTGCAATGACAATTGCTCTGGTTGCAGAATCATTTAACCTTAACCCACGCAACGCTCTGAGAAGTGCCAGAATCACACCAATCCCGACCCGTCCCAGGGCCCAGGGTCTCAGGCAAGGGCTCTCTCTCCGGCCTCTTACCTCGGGGCTCGAGGACAAAGCTCGGTTTTCTCATCACTAATTCCAAATCTCTTCTCTTCTGCTTGGTCACATGCACTCGAGTACTGGCATGATTTTGACAGGGGTTGGTTAGGAGAGACAGCATTTATATAGCATCTAATCCGCACCAGGCACTGCTGAGCTCTACAAATATTCTCTCATTTAATCCTCACATCAACTTCGAGGTAGATATTCTCACCCATCTCCTACCTTGATTCATTTTCACAAAGCTGTGTTCAAGGCTTAGAATGCCCTTCATCCACACACCTATCTTTCAGAATCTCTGTCTTTCTCCAAGGCTCATGTCAGGGACCCCCTCCTCCATGAAGCCTTCTCTCTCTTTTTTTTTAAATTTTTTTTTTTATTTTTAGTTTTCAACATTTACTTCCACAAGATTTTGAGTTCCAAATTTTCAGCCCATCTTGCCCCTCCCTCCACCCCAAGATGGCATGCATTCTGAATACCCCTTCCCCTAGTCTGCTTTCCCTGCTATCTCTTCCCCCTTCCCCTTCTATTTTCCTGTAGGGCAGGATAGATTTCCCAGTGGCATGTGAAAACAATTTTTTTTGAAACGTGTTTTTTTAAACTTTGGGTTCCAAATTTTCTTCCTTCCTTCATCCGCACCCACCCTCATTGAAAAGGCAAGCAACTCAATATAGGCTATACTTGTGCAGTTATGCAAAACACTTCCATAGTAGATATGCTGTGAAAAACTAACTCTATTTCCCTTAATCCTATCCCACCCCCCCATTTATTCTATTCTTTCTTTTATTCCTGTCCCTCCTCAGAAGTATTTGCTTCTGATTACCCCCTTTCCCAATCTGCCCTCCTCTCTATCATCCCCCTACTCTCTTGCTCCCTTCCCCTCCTATTTTCCTGTAGGGTAAGACAGATTTCCATACCCAATTGAGTGTGTATGTTATACTCTCCTTAAGTCAAATCCTATAAGAATAAGATTCACTCAATTCCTCTCACCTTCCCCTGTTTCCCCTCCACTGTAAGAGCCTTTTCTTTTCTGTTTTGTTTTTTTTTGTGAGATAATTTACCCCGTTCTACCTTTCCCTGTCTCCTTCTCCTAGTATAATCCTCTCTCACCCCTTAATTTTATTCTCCAGATAGGACCCCTTCATCTTCAACTCACCCTGTGCCCTGTATCTATCTATCTATCTATCTATCTATCTATCTATATCTATATATACATACATATAATTTTTTCCCCTCCAATTACCCTAATACTGACAAAGGTCTCATCAGTTACAAATATCATCTTTCCATGCAGGAATGTAAACAGTTCAACCTTAATAAGTCTCTTATGATTTCTCTTTCCTGTTTACCTCTTCATTTTCCACTTGAGTCTTGTATTGGAAAGTCAAATTTTCTATTCAGCTCTGGTCTTTTCATCAAGAATGCTTGAAAGTCCTCTATTTCACTGAATGACCATTTTTTCCCCTGAAGAATTATACTCAGTTTTGCTGGGAAGGTGATTCTTGGTTGTAATCCTATCTCCTTTGCCCTCCAGAATATTATATTCCATGCCCTGCAGTCCCTTAATGTAGAAGCAGCTAAATCTTGTGTTATCCTGATTGTGTTTCCACAGTATTTGAATTGTTTCTTTCTAGCTGCTTGCAATATTTTCTCCTTGTCCTGGGAACTCTGGAATTTGGCTACAATATTCCTAGGAGTTTTCCTTCGGGGATCTCTTTCAGGAGGAGATCGGTCGATTCTTTCAATTTCTATTTTGCCCTCTGGTTCTAAAATATCAGGGCAGTTTTCCCTGAAAATTTCTTGAAAGATGATGTCTAGGCTCTTTTTTTGATCATGGTTTTCAGATTGTCCAATAATTTTTAGATTCTTTCTGCTGGATCTATTTTCCAAGTCAGTTGTTTTTCCAATGAGATATTTCACATTGTTTTCTAATTTTTCATTCTTTTGGATTTGTTTTACAGTGTCTTGATTTCTCATAAAGTCACTAACTTCCAATTGCTTTATTCTAATTTTTAAGGAAGCATTTTCTTCAGTAATCTTTTGGACTTCCTTTTCCATTTGTCCAATTTTGCTCTTTAGGGCATTCTTTTCTTCATTGGCTTTTTGGACCTCTTTTGCCATTTGGGTTAGGCTATTTTTTAAGGTGTTATTTTCTTCAGTATTTTTTTGGGTCTCCTTTGGCAAGCTGTTGACTTGCTTTTCATGATTTTCTTGCATCACTCTCATTTCTCTTCCCAGTTTTTCCTCTACTTCTCTTACTTGCTTCTCAAAATCCCTTTTGAGCTCTTTCTAGGCCTGGGACTGATCCATATTTTTCTTGGAAGTTTTGGATGTAGGAGCTTTGACTTTGTTTTCTTCTTCTGATTGTACGTTTTGATCTTCTTTGTCACCAAAGTAAGATAATATAGTCTGACTCTTTTTGCGCTGCTTGCTCATGATCCCAACCAATTACTTGAGATTTAAACTCTTTGTTAAGGTAAGAGTCTGTTTCCAATGTGGAGAATATACTGCCCCAAGCTTTGGGGGTTTGTACAGCTGTTTTCAAAGATACTTCTAGGGACCTGAAAAGTGTCAGTTCTTCCAAGGTGCTATGATAAGGGGCGAGGTGTTTCCTCTCCACTGCCACTACAAGCTCGACCACACCAGCGCTCCTCCTGGCCCCAGGACTGCCCCTCAGAACTGTGACCCAGATCCAAGCACGGGTAAATCAAGAGATTCCTGCCTCAGCCCTGGCAAAGAGATCCTGGCAATTCCCCTCTGATCAGCCACTGGATTCCCCCTCAGTCTGTGGGCCAGAAGCTCAGAAGCCAGCTGCTGCCCTCGGGGCAGCTGAGATCTAGCTTCTTCCCTCACCGCAGTCACAGACTTTTCTTACTGACCTTCTAAGTTGTCTTTGTCGTTTGTGGGTTGAGAAGTCTGGAAACTGCCACAACTGCCCACGATTCAGTCCTCTGAGGCCTGCTCCAGGGTCGCTGCGGCCTGCGCGCCCATGCCGAACTGTGCTCCTCTCCCAGCCCAGCGCGATATAACTTTCCAATCAACCATCCAGGTTGTCTTGGGCTGGAAATTTGTTTTACTCTGTCTTTTTGTGGGTTCTGCTGCTGTAGAATTTGTTTAGAGCCATTTTTTAACAGGTATTTGGAGTGGTTTGGGGGAGTGCTCTAGCAAGTCACTGCTTTCCCTCCGCCATCTTGGCTCTGCCTCCCCATGAAGCCTTTTTAAGACCTTCCTGCACAGCTGTACGTGCTTTTGCCCTCCTCGATTTCCTTCATCCTACACTTATTTGGACGTGTGTCAGCACTTCTCCCAGGAGAAAGTAAACTCCTTAGGCCTGTCTCATTTTTGCCTTTATATCAACAGTCCTGAGCACAGTGCAGGTGGAGTGATAGAGTGACAAGATAATAGATGGTAAGCACCTTGCAAACTTGAAAGTGCCATATAAATGCTCTCTCTCACACACACGCACACGCACACACACACATTCACACACACGCACACGCACTCTTACTGTTATGGAATTTTTCACGATCACAGTTGAAGGCTGCCATGCCTTGCCCCACTCCTATGGCTTGCTCCAAGGATTGGGAGGTGGACGTGCATGTAGATGGGTCGAGAGAGGCTTCTGTCTGCTAGCAGAGAGTCGGTTTGGCCCACACCTTCTGCGAGCTCCATCCCAGCCACTCAAAAGAGATTCTTTCTCATACCACACACAATTCCCAGAGGTGATAACC